AGGTCACGCATATGTGATGTGTAACGTATCAGGGTAGGCGCATTTTACAGCCCCTTGAGGTCATCTTTACACCTCCTACCTTGGCTACGCCCATATTCTTCCCGTATATAAGCCCAGCACCGTTGCTAGAGATGACAGAGGACTTCCCAAGCACCAACTACCACCAGGCGAGCCGAGCCAAGCCAGGTTGTAGTTTTTGCTGCTTCAGGCGGTAAAGTAAACTTCATGCATCAGCAGCTGGTGCTTACGAAAAGACCAATTTCGTGGCCTCTGAAGAGGCGACAAACGTATATAGTATCTGTGATGGATATTTACTGTACGTACGTAGTCGGGAGGGCCTGGCATATGAAACAGTTACACGTTTTGTTTTAACTTCTGGCCCCGATCGGCAAAAAAAGCGCATTTTAAAAATATTGTCAAGTTTCTTAGGAATGCAGGGAATCAAACTGATGCATGCAATAGAGTCCTTTGTTGAACTGAATTGAAAAAGATTGAAAAAATGTTGAAAATTAACTGAAAAAGGATGAAATAAGAAATTCCTAAGAATGCAAGTTTCTGAAGAATCCGTTATGTTATGTGTTTTGTTTTTATGTTTTGACAGATTTCTCAGATTCCTCAAATTTTCAAGCTTTTCCTTATTTTTAGGAATCTCTACTGGAAAGAACAAAATATCTAGGCAAAAGAATCAAAGAACTTATTGTTTTACCGATTTATGCCAATCTTCCTTCCGATTTACAAGCCAGAATCTTTGATCCAACGCCACTAAACGCCCGGAAGGTATGTTTTCAATTTGCGGAAATTTCACTCATTTCTTTTTTGCAGACATTTTTCAATTTTGATCTAGCAGTGGGTATTGCGATTATGCTTTTTGTGATTAGAATTAAATTATGCCTATAATAATTACGATTGGAACTAAATTATGGCTATATCCAGACCATGGCTAAGTGAATTATTGCTTCCGTTGTTCAGGTGGTGCTGGCCACAAACATTGCTGAGACGTCCGTAACAATTGATGGAATCAGTTACGTAATTGATCCCGGTTTTAGTAAACAAAATTCGTTTGATGCCCGAAGTGGTGTGGAACATTTACACGTTGTTACCATTTCAAAGGTTTGTTTATACTTCCTATTCTTCGGCTAGCCCTGTTAACATTGATATGTGAATGCAAAAATTTCTAGTTTTACGCTGGTATGGCGCAATAGCATGGAGCACTGCTCTCCTGCTGGGAGTCAGGAGTTCTACTTCGCCAGTGAGATAACCAACCAGTTCCTTTATGATCCTTTCATTCGTTTCGATTGCAAATTGGTACTGCTACATGTCACGGAGTTCAATCCGCCATCAACATACCTTGAAAGAACGCTTGAGATAGAAAGCCATGACTCTCTTGCTGGTTGTTTTTGGCACGTGTTAAACTAGGGATTCTTCGCAGTGCCTTTCTCTGTTATAAAATTGAAAACTGAGGGAATTTTGGCTTGTATTCTGGCGCCTTACGTGACATCTTTTCATCTTAGCGCACCTTCTCACAGTCAGCTTAACTGGCTTCCTTCTACAAATGATGTGAACCGAATCATCGAAGATTAGTCTTCTTATGAAGTAGGTTTTTGCTTTTCGGCGCTTTTCTTCCTTCCCTCTGGGCAGAAGTACTGGGTGCATCGTATCTGTTATTTATAATTCGCAGATCTGATTATAACTTTTGGATTCATTGGATTTCATAAATTTCATGAAATTTGTAAACGATTGTAAAAATAACAGAATTGGTGCTTCCAGGCTGCAGCTAATCAGCGGGCTGGGAGAGCTGGTCGAACTGGTCCCGGAAAGTGTTTTCGTCTGTACACAGCCTGGGCTTATAAAAACGAATTGGAGGATCAGCCTATCCCAGAGGTAGTTTCTTTACTCTCTTTACTCTCTTTATATTCGCTTTTTGAGGGTTGAAAAAAAAGCAGCCGAAGAGAAGAAAGTTATTTTTTGGTTTTCAGATCCAGCGCATTAATTTGGGAAATGTTGTTTTAATGCTAAAAAGCTTGGGAATCCACGACTTGGTGCATTTCGATTATTTGGACCCACCGCCTCAAGAAACGTTAGTGATTGCCTTGGAGCAATTGTACGCGCTTGGAGCGCTGAATCATCGCGGCGAACTGACGAAATTGGGACGACGAATGGCCGAGTTTCCGTGCGATCCGTGCATGAGCAAAATGATTATTGCATCAGAAAAGTACTTTTTTTATCTTTTATTTTTTTTAGCAAACATTACGAAACCTGATGGGCTGGGCGTATCATTCGCGTTTTTGATAAGCACTGAGCATCACATGCTGGGGAATGCACACGATCTGTGAAAGCATTCCAGTTTCATCGCTAATATGGAATGAGCACGTTGGTCTTGTGCAGAGACTTTTTAAACAGTTTTTTGCTGGAAAAACTAAATTTGTTTTGTGGGTATTTAAAAATTTTGATAGATAGCGGAGCATGTCGTTCGCGTTTTGTTATTTTTTACGCTGCATGATTTTTTTTAGAAAAAAGGAATGTCGGCAAAGGCATGACATTGCGGGGTAGTACCTGTCGTGCAGTAAGTCGAAGTTCATCTCTGCCCGTATCATAACCAATTTCTGCACAATTCCTTTCGATGGTAAATTGGTGCTGGTATGTGCCAGAAACTCAGACTCGCTATCAGCTTGCTTGTAAGCAACCCTCAGAAGAGGAAGCTGTCGACAGTCTTGTCAGCGAGTGGTTGCTGGTGGCATTTGCTATAACTCGGTCTTCCTCACGACTGCCTGAGCT